GCTTCGCCGAGGTGGTGGGTCATGCGCCGAACAGGTGGTCTGTGGAAGGATCTCCTTCCATGTGATGATGCGGAGGATGACCATTACTTGGGTCTCTTGCGCATGCGGCGGTCATCATTCGATCGTATTTTGCGAAAGGTGGGTCCCCTCTTGGAGAGGGAGGTGACAAAGTTCAGGGTCCCTTTGGATCCTGCGAAAAAATTGGCGTATGCGCTCCACAGGCGGGCGCACGGTGACTCACATTGGCACACTTGTTCCGAGTACGGTATGGGCAAAACCAATGGACTCCGAGCCATCAAAGAGGTGGCTGAGGCCATTATCGCGTGTTACCGGAACAAGGTCAGCTTCGGGGGTTTTGTGGAGCGTCATCGTAGAATGTAGTTGTTTGACGCGTTGGGCTTCCCGAACTGTTGAGGGTGCATAGACTGCACCCATGTTTATATGGACAAGCCGCGCACAAGGGACGGGGATGACTATTGTTCGGGAAGATTCAACAGGTTCTCCATTGTTGCGCAGTTGGTGGTCGACTCCGAACTGAAGATCCTGGACTTCTGCTATGGATTCCCAGGGACTGTTGGTGATGGACGCGCGTTGAAGTCRACGTCACTCTATAAGCGCGGTCTRCAAGGTTCTCTATTCCTGGACGACCCCGCTGATCCGTTCGCTCCTGACAGRCCRGCAATTGCCGGTGTCCYTGGCGGGTACTTGCTCGCCKATKGCGGGTATCCAAGTCTACCYTGGATTGTCACTCCTTACGGGCAGGCACCCAATGTCACGATGGCCATGCAACAGTTCGATGCACTCCACAAGATAGTGAGATCTTGCGTGGAGCGTTTTTTTGGAGTCTTCAAGATGTGGTTCCAGTTCTTCTATGGCCCGCATGTGACCGATATAACGAGGGAGGGTTTGGAATTCGAAGCCTGTTGTATTCTCCACAATCTATTTAAGGAATGGGGAGACATGCCGCAAGAGGACTTGGAGTTGTCTGATGCGTCTTCCCCCGACACACCTCCTCCCCGTGGAGGACAAGGAAGTGTGGGATTACCGCTTGAATTCATGTTCGGTCGCAAACGCGGGCAGGCCGTGAGAGATGCGCTGTGTGCAGAAGTTGTCCGCTTGTATGAGATTCGGAGGGAGCAGTGATATGGGCCTCACGAGTAGACCATTGTGGCATGGGTACTGATCTTCACTTTCGTGGTCATTCATGTACCGTTCTCGCCCGAACGGCTGCTCGCTTGTTGTCGGCTTCTTTCATCTTTGTTGTGGTGCAACAGATCGTTGGGTTCTGATTGGTTCCTTACAAAGGACCAATGGCGGGGAGGGACTCTGTGAGGGAGAGGCGTGAGGTGATGAGCGAAATGGAGAAGATGGAGAGGGAGGTTGAACGAGTCCACAAGTACTTCGTGGAGAGGGGTGATAGCATCACAGACACCATGCGTTGCGGCAGAACTGTTTCTGAAACTGAGATGTCGCTCGAGAACATTCAAGCTCGGAGATGGGCAAGTTCCGTTCTGAAGAGACTTCGTGCGTCAAGGGATAGTCTCCGACATTGCTGCGACGAACTTGTCATCCACAACCTCCAAATCCGACGAGACAACGAGCAATGGAGACGAATGTGGGACGAGAGCCGGGCGGAGGTACGCGACACTACCCGAGCCTTGCTGCAACAGTTCGAGACAGGGACGAAGCTATGTCGAGGTGCGAGGCGGCCGAAGAAGATGGGCAAATGGCACGTGAGCAGGCTGAAACCGCTTGGAGGTTCTACGACGACATTGTGCGTGGAGTGGTGGTGGGGACTGATGGTGACAACGATGTGTGTCATGAATTTGAAGCTCTTCGCGTCGGTGGAAACGGAAAAGGTGCGGCCAGCTCATCGACGACACAGGGTGGACATGGGGCCACGTGTTGCAATTGCGAGGATCTCATGTTTAGGAATAACATAAGCACATCCCGCGTTTCCTTTGTTGTTCCATTTTCCCATTTTGTCGAGGTCCAACCTGGCAAATTCCTCTCTGGCCTTTCTCCAAACTCCCTCTTCATCCCTCAGGATAGGTACATATCCTTCACTACTTACAAACATTTCCATCATCGCACCGTGATACAATCTAGGACACATCAGGACGATCTCTCCGGAATTACGATGGACAGGTGAAAAAACCAAATCAACAAATCTACACTTCACTTGGATAACCTCATCCACAGTCAGTTCATGGCTATTACTAACTGAATCGTTCATACATCTCTTGGCTTCATCGACACTAATATCCACACGCACTTCGTGTCCTGGCCTCCAACGTGTAAAGGATTCCGCAAGTTCTTGGAACAGCATATCTGCCCGAAGCCCCTTTCGAGCTCCGGGTATATTACCGCCATTGTGCATGCCTTTCGGCACATCGCGCACCTCCCACAGTCTGCATCTTACATGTCCTTCCACTCGGGGAAGATCAAACCTTGTGCAAGTGCAGGCCTGCACGTCTTTAGCGGCGACCTTGCGATGATTACACAGGATGTCAGCGACAGAAGGATTTTTTGTCCAAACTGCCCTGACTTTCCTCTGATAGATGCTAGTAATTGTAGGCGGGAAACCAACTTCACCGATCTTAGAATCACACAAACGACATATCCCAACCAAACTAACCCTGTCATCGTATCGTACTTTAGCAACTAGTCGTGCACCAATATTGAATCCATACCCTCGCTTTATACCCCCTCACAAAATGCGTTTCAGCTGCTGCCGAGTGCTTTTTCGACTAAATTCCTTGGCTGTTGTCAGCAAATCCGTCAAAAAGCCCATATCTCGTGCATGTAAGGAGTCCCGTTTCCTAGGCTGTTTCAGAAGTGACACCAGAAAAGTATGATTTCTACGGTTATGCTTCCGCCATTTCTTCAAACACAAAAACTGGATGTTTCTTCCCTCTTCTACATCTTTCTTACACTGCCTCAACAAACATTTCCTTCCTTCCACGATCACGTCAGAATTTCCAAACAATCGTTTCACCTTCTTCCATCCCTCACACCAGACTTTGCCACCCAGCGATTTCAAAACGAATTGACGACACCCTTTGTCATCCAAATCACACAAAGTTTGTAGCACTCTAACCGATCCATTAGCTGCATCTCCCACCTTTACCCGTATTATGTCTTTAGGCCCCTTTCTCGCCACTCCCTTGTTACCCAATTTCCTCCTCCTTTGTCCTTTTTGCTTTCCCCGTTCCTTTCTCCCTCTCCGTTTCTTACGTGACTGCTTTCGGACCTTACTCTTCCTCTTCGGACCACGGACATTCAACGACGGTGACCAACTCCGAATAAGTAGGTCTTCTAGGCTCAGGAGGTTCCTGGCATCATCTATCAACACCGGAATGAGTATGTACGAATGTAATCCGAAACGTTCCAACCATCTATGAAAATGGGAAGCTGAATTTCCAGTGGACTTACTGCGACTTCGGTGCTTATTCCATCTAGTGTTCAATGCTCTCTCCGTCTTTCCGATATACGTCGCTTTACACCAGGGTGTGACACCTACATAGACGCAATGTTCCGGGTCATCGAAAGCCTCCGGATTACTACTCAACAACTCAGACCAATATTGCACAAATTTACCCTACCACGGTATACATCCATGCAGCGTAAGTGCCACTAAAACCCATCGAAGTAACACTTCTATCTCCTTACGCACCGGGTAGTCCTGTCTCCGCACATTCACTAGAGCTCTGCATCTCTCCCATAGCTCCTCTACACTCTTCCCACATTACGCCTGTTTCTTCTTACTCGGAGTATCTGACTGAGCGGTATCAGAATCAGAGTCCTCGACGCTCTCGCTAGATGTTGCCAATGTCCCATCTCCACGAGTGTTTTTCATAATTCCCTCTTGAGTGCCTTCGTAAGCAACTTGCGCACAGTGTTCGGCCAACGTGATGACTGCCTATGGCTTACGGATGTAAGGCACGCCCGCTTGCTTGCACATCCGTTGAATTTGGCGATAGTCCAGTCCATCGAGATGCCTTATCGTCTCGTCCACAAATTGCTGTCTAGCTCCCGGACCCGCAGCTGCCGCCGTCCCTTTCCGAGTGGTATCCTTCTTCTCTCGGAGTTTGCGCATTGTCATTGGTTGTAATCCTGTCTTCATTTTCTTAGCTGAGCGCCCTGTCCGCGGTGGTCGTCCTCGGGATCGCCGATGCAGCTGCAGCGGAGTTGCTTGAGAGCTGGAAAAGGATTCCTCCTCTTCCGTTGTTGGTGGACGTCTCTTTCGGTCTGACAGGCACATTCGCCTAGTTTTGCGGCTGATGTCGGACACCTCATCGTCGGTGGCGGATTCCGGATGCGGGACCTGACGGTGTTTTGCACGCCTGGTACCTCGACGTACTCGTCTCGGATTCTTCTTATACGCGGGTGTACTTTCCACTTCCACTTCCTCCGTCTTCTCTCCCCATCTACTCGCAAAGTGCTTATTCACAAGCCGAGCCAATCTCTCGTCATTTTCTTGCTGCTCCCGCCGTTTCTTCTCTTGCTTCTCCCGTCGCTTCTCTTCTTTCGTCAGTCTGTCTTGCTCACGCTTCGCAACTTCCTCTTCTTCCTTCTGTCTCGCAATCTTCTCTTCTCTGTCAGCCGTAATGAGGTCGACGAGATCTCGGACACTGTCACGTTCCACCCGACCCCGATATCTGGAGTCAGCCGACGGGGAACGTTTCGCCAACTCCCATCGTCGTCTAGGCGGGGAGGCAGATCTCCCTCGGTAATGACGCTGGCCTCCATCTCGTGATGATTCTCCCCCCTCCCGTCCTTCCTTAGCTTCGAACTTCTCCTTCCAGTAAATTTCACAGTCCCTCGCATCGTGCCCCGGCATCTTGCAACTGTAACATACCGGAGATTTCCACGCGTTCCATCCCTACCGCTCCCCCCACCTTGTTGACTCGAGGAGGCCATACCTCCTATATACGCCTCCTGTTTCCCCAAGCTCAATCTCCACCACGTTCACTCCGTAGCTCATACGATATACAGTAGCTTCGTCAAACTTGACCACCAGTTGCGAAGTATCTATCCCCCGCTGGTTACCAAGCGCTTCAACTGAGCTGAGATATCCAACATGCAATCACAAAGGCAATCGCAGATCAAAATTTACCAACAAAGCTCGCAGATCAAAGTTGACCAACAAAGTCCAAATTCTCAGCAGTTCCCGCGTATGGGATGTCCAATAGGAAAAATTCACTTCATACATGTCCCATCCCTTCCGCCACCTTCCTCTGACCGCCCACCCTATGATCCGCCATTCTATCCACAATCAAAATTGGCGCAGTTTGTCAGCAGCCACCGCCGAAACGCTGGCTGTAGACGACTGCCTATGCGAGCGTGCTGAAGAGGATGAACTAAGTTTGCTACCTACTATTAATAGTTTCTTCCTATGTAGCCGAACTCTAGCTACCTCCCATTTTCCAATAAGTCCGCAGTGAACTGCCAAACATGGTCTCGTGTTCGTGCGAAGTTCCAGACCGCATTTCCCACAAACTGGTCCCTAAAGCCTTTGGCCCTATACTCTTTTCGTAACGTCAAGACCTGCTTCGGGATCTGCGTTCGATCCGTTGTGTTCCTATCAATTCGATGTAACCATCCCGTGAGTCCAGCCAATTTTTGTTTCCTACCCGTCCAGKAGTGCGAATCCTGACCCGTCCTGAATACTACCTTATMTGTGGTCCAGATACTCTCCTCGTTCTTAGTCTTTCGTGTACTTCTCAAAAATGGGTAGTCCTGTTTGACTTCCATCCGACACCCCAAAAAATCCCATGTCCCTGTTTTTTTATCCGTACGTTTCAATGATAGGGCCTTCGGATAGCATTTTTCGAACTTCCGCCGAATTCGGTTGGCAGTCCCTAGCGATTTACAGCTACGACATTGGTAGGCCAAGAAGATGGATACATCGTCCATCAATCTGACTCC